GAATCTCATACATTCTATCGCTAACTTACTTTCTAGGCTGAATTTTGTGTCAAATAGTTTAATCAGTGCAGAATGCTGGATAGTGCGTTGTTCCATGCTTTGCCTTACAAGAACATCATCAGCAAGTGGACCTATATCATATAAAAACGTTGACTTGATGTTTCTGCTCGTATGTTTTAAGCCTTAAGCTGTTCTACAGCAGTGGAACTGTGGCTTCTAGAGCTTGCTCATCTGCCCTTGTTGCAGGCCTTTTGGACTATCAAATCATTGACATAATGGTTAGGTCTCTATCAAGGCTACCATTCATACTGTCAAAGCTGACTGATCAGAGTGAACATTCAGTTTTTTTCCTCTTTACTGTCAAGGTGTTCTGATTAGCTTTTCCTCAACAGAGCATTGCTGGTCTGTGGTTAAGCTTTGAAGTCTTCCAAGATTGAATTTCCTGCTCTTTCTCCAGCACTATATTTTTGCCTGCCTTTTGGAACTCTCCCTCTTCAACTGCGCCCTTGGATACGGTTTTAACTTCAGATCCTGGCTCTGGACTTTTTTTCTTAGCTGCCACCAAGCATTTTCTTGTGTTTTAGGCTATTACTGCTACCTCTAGAGATACTGGTCAGGAGTATTTTGGGTTGTGTGGGTATATACACATGCTGTCTTTTGAGGTTACTTGCTCTTCTCCCTCTCTCCCTCTCTCCCTCTCCCCTCTCCCTCTCTCCCTCTCTCTCTCATTGTCTGTGACCAACCCCAACCGTGCCCCGGTTCACCTGTGGTGCAGTTGTCAACCCATGTCTTTATTACCTCTAGACTTGCCTACTTCACTGTGCTCCTGGCCGGCCTCCCATGGTCTGTCCAAAATTCTGTTCATTTCTTAACTGGCACCAAGTCCTGTTCACCCTTCATCCTTTTTTGTTAACCTACATCAGCTCACGATTTAAGCAACATTTGAGTGGGGAGAGGAGGAGAAAGAGTGAGAGCAGAGTCAAGAGTGCTCAGAATTTCAAATCTGCTTCCTATCTAGCGAAATGGTAGCATAACGGTTACGTGACTGGATTAGCAATCTGTAGCCCTGGACTTGTGCTCTGGAGACTTGAATTCAAATGACCTTCCCTCCAAATAGGATCAAGAAAGAGTTGTTCACTTATAATTACAGTGTTCCGACCTGTTCTCAATTCTGCTAGAGAACAAAGTAGTCTACCTGCATGTAACAAAATCTGAACAATGTTTAGGTTTAAACTGGTAAGTGGCAACTATCATTTGTACATGAAAGTGTCAAGTAATTACTATCCAGAACAAGAGAATCTAACCATCTGACTTTCAATGGAATTACCATTACTGAATCCCACTGTGTCAACATCCAGGAGTTATAATTGACCAAAAACTTAACTGGACCAACCATATATCCAAGTGCTCATAGCTAAAAGAGCAGGCCATTGGCTGTGAAATCTGCAGTGAGGAACTTCCCTCCCGATTCCCCAAAGCCTGTTCACTTGCCTACAAGGCATAAGGCAGGAATGCAATAGAATACTGTCCACTTGCTTGGATGGGCACCAATAACACTTGAGAAACACAACACCATTCAGGACAAAGTAGACCATTTGATTGACACCCCACCCAACACCTTAAACATTAATTCCCTCACCTACCAACACTGTGGTAGCAGTATGCACCACCTGGAAGATGCGTTGCAGCAATGGCTAAAGATGCATAGGAATGCTACCATTTGTACATTCTTCAAGCTACGTACTGGCCTGACTTGTTTAATATATTTGTTCTTTCTCGGTTGCTGAGTCAAACCCCGTAATTCTTCCCTACACATACCACGTTCCCTGCAACAATTCAAGAAGGCAGCTCACCACCACGTTTAATGGTAATTTGGTAGAGGGATGAGCAGCAAGTGCTGGCCTTGCAGTGACACCTACGTCCAGCGATGGAATTTTAAATACCACAAGTATGAAAAATTAGAATACATGTCTGTCTATCTCAAACCTTTCGTACCAGTATATTATTTTAATATTTCACAACAATCTTTTGAAGTTATAGTGATAGAAAGTAGGCTGGGGGAAGGTTCATGTGAAGCACAACTACTGGCAGGTACTGGTTGGCTGAATGGCCTGATTCTATGATGTACATTGATTTAGGTACAGCTTATCACCTCAAAAGTGATACTGGGGTTTAGGCCTTGTAATCACCAATTATGGCAGTTGTTCCACTGTGTATATGTGAGAGTTGTGCCATCCTGTTGGATGTGTGCCTGCCACTTCCTTGAAATGTACATTTTTGGAAGCTTTGAATTATGTTTTTCCCTCCATTAACGCAATTATAATTTATTGATTTCTTTAAAACTGCACTTATATACTTCGATTTTGACAATAGATTTAACATTTTTGTGCATTGATTTGGGCAATTTTATGCTTTTGTCAGGACTTTGGGGATACATCCAAAAGAGTTGGTAGAGGTTCATTGTTAGCATTAGCTATCTCCTAGCATTGATTTTTCCATGATGAGTTGGTGATTAAATTTCTCTTTCTGCATCATTCAGGTCTTTAATGGCTGGTAAACCAGGGGTAGAACATCTGCTTTTGGAATGGAGAGATCAATTGAGTGATAAAATATGGATTTTTTTTTTCCAAGAATGACAACACTTCAGGTTTTGCTTGATCTAATCTGGCTAGATTATTATTGAAGCATTTTCAAAATACGTTAATATGCTGGAGATCAGCTAGCACTAATATAAGTAAATTGCATTTCCACCTTCCTTTACAAAAAAATGCCCAGTGTCTTAACTTTAATTCTTGAATAAGATGAAGGCTGCAGTACTGGCTGGAGACACTCCAGCTGGACTAGAACTTGGATTGGAGAACGCCTGGTGGCTTAACCATTTAAAGATACTGGACCACTGAGTTATACAGAGAGCCTCAGATTTGATTATTCAGTTCCAAATGGGATTCCAGGTGTTAGTGTTGACCATTGACTGCTGGTCTAAGGAGGCTGAACACTTCCTTGTTTCCTCTTGGGATCGCTATCCTATAGCGTGTTTGAAGTTCAGCTGAGGAATATATGGCTGACATTAATCTTCCATAGTTCTTAATAACTTGTCAGCACTCGCTGTTTTTAAACTTGCCTGCAAACAAATGTCCAGGGAGTAGCAGTAAGCCGGCAGTAGTTCATTTAGAAAACGTTGTTGATCCTATATTGTGGTAACTCGTATTTTGTTGTTGATATCAATTTTGCTCTTTTTAGCTGTGTTTGTAATTGGTAGTGCCAGTTATTGCTTGCATTGATGAGCGATTATGTAGCACAGGTTGGGCTCTTGTGGCTCAGTGATCGTGTCCCTACCTCTGAGCCTGGAAACCCATGTTCAAGTCCAGCGTGCTCCAGAGGTTGTATTAACATTTGTACAGGTTGATTAGAATACATCTACATAGCGCAGGTAATCACGCCTTATCAGTAGTATACAGCTGAGATAACTGAAATAGTTAGACTCAATATGATATACAGCCTATGTTATTCATAATCTATTGGAATGGCAAATTATGCAAGAATTAATTCCCTGATGTAACACTTTCCTGCAATAACTGTAATCGAGATCAGCGAGCGGCAGAGGTTAACTTTGTCACTGCATAGATTGCCCAAAACCTAATCCGAAAGTTACTCTGAAACAAAATGATTAAGATCAATTATTTTAGCCAAGCACTGAAAAGCTTATTTAGTTTTGTGTTAATGCTAAGTTTTTGTGATCAAAGTAACAGATATCAGAGACTTTTATATTTATCAGTTTATACAAGAGAACAATTCAAAGGGAGACTATTTGTTTGATATGCATATAAATAGATCTATGGTGTTCTAATATATACTGATCACCCGTTTACTGGGTGATTATTGTGGCACAAACCATATTGCAAGTTAATTTTTTTTTAAATGCTTGGTAAATGTGTGCTTTCATTCAAGTAATTCCCTCTTAAAGCTCATTTAATTCTAAATAAAATGTAATGCCAAACTATTTGCATTATGGATTTATAAAATCAAACAAAGATAGTTGTAGAAAAGAAGCTCAGAACTTGCAAAGTTTTCTTTACACAGGACCAATGAGCCAATATACAATTTACATGGTAAAATATATTGTTGATTAGGGAAAGAGAACCTCTTTCAAGGAAAAGAATTGTCTCAACCGCATTAAGTTTTTTTTAGTTCTTGAAAAGAAAATTGTGATCATGTAATTGGGAAAATTATATCCCATAAATGTGTCATGCTGGAGGATATTTAGCACAAGAGCACAATATTGTGGATACTGGGAATCTGAAATATAAAAAACAGAAAATGTTAGAGGTTTGATAGCATTTGTCAACATTTCATATTGACAACCTTTCATCACAGGGTTTATCACAGATACGATACTTTGCATTATTTTTCAAAGTGTAGAGCCATAAGGGATTAGATTAAAGTTAGATGAATACATTTGTGATACACCTCAGCCATGAAATTATAGAATGGTGGAACAGACTTGAGTCCTGTCTTTTCATTGCTAGGTAATTATTGTGGTTGTTCCTTTTTTGCAAGTCATTGTAGTTCATGGATGAAAGCATTTTAAACATTCAACTTTAAATCTTATTTAAACATTAGCTAAATTATACATCCTGTTATTATTGTACACCTCGCGTTACAGTGCTTTAAAATCTAAAATTGAATTAACGGTATTAAAATTTAAGTTTAAATTTTTTGTGGAGTTAAAGATAAAAGGGATATACTTTTCCTAATATGTTTAATTTTGAATTTTAAATTATTTTTCCACTTCATTCTTTTAGTTTCACTGTATTTACTCATCTTTCTGGTCTTATTTCTTTCCTGGGTTTCTGTCACAGGCCCAATGTTCTTATTTTCACTCTCCTCCCCACGAAGAGAAGTGACAACATTAATGAAGTAAAGTTCAGCATGTACTATCTAAGATGGTTTTATTTGAGGAAATGTAATGTATGCTAAAATAAACTCATTTCTTTTCCCAGGTAATCAAAGGTGACTTTCAACTACCTGCAATTCTGAAAGATCAGCCACAGGTACAGTATTAGGTTGCTTAATGTCAACTGGATTTGCAGTGATGTTTTGGGTTGTTTTAAATTTATTACTGCTTCTGAGTCTATGTTTAAAGTTACAGTGACTAAAGTTAGCCAAACAGCAGCAAATGTTACAGAATCTGGGAAAATAATTGATCAGAAAGAGGTGACCAGTTCGCATGCTTCAGTTAGCCTCATTGCATTTTGTATATAGAACTGTAAAAGGCACGATTCCTGATACTTGCATACAGACCTCTGTCAAGAATGTTAAGGAAGAGGAACAAGTAAGCAACCGAAGAAATGGCAAACATTTTGAAAGTACTGACTATGCTCTAATGATACAAAGATACAAAGGATGTGATTGCAATACAGAGAGTGCAGAGAAGATTCATCAGGATGTTGCCTGGGCTGGAGCCTTAGTAGGGTGGTTAGTAACAGGGGCTACAATTTTAAGATAAGGAGCAGGAGGTTTGAAGAGGATTTCAGGATCCAATTTTTCACCTGACTTGTCCATACTAACCAGATATCCTAAATAAATCTAGTCCCATTTGTCAGCATTTGCCCCATATCCCTCTGAACCCTTCCTATTCATTTACCCATCCAGATGCCTTTTAAATTTCGTAATTTATACCAGCCTCCTTCACTTCCTCTGGCAGTTCATTCCACGTATGTACCTACCTCTTCTGTGTGAAAAAAGTTGCCCCTTAGGTCCCTTTTAAATCTTCCCCCTCTCACCTTAAGCCTGTGCCCTCCTTGTTTTGGACTTACCTATCCTTGGGAAAAGACCGTGACTATTCACCCATTCCATGTCCCTCATCATTTTAACCTGTACAAGGTCACCCCTCAGCCTTTGACATTCCAGGGAAAATAGTTAGTGCCTATTCAGCCTCTCCCTATAGCTCAAACCTCCAACCCTGGCAAAATATTTTTTAAATTTTTTCTGAACCCATTCAAGTTTCACAACAGCACAGAGACCAGAACTGAATGCAATATTCCAAATGTGGCCTAACTAATGTCCTGTACAGCTGCAACATGACCTCCCACCTGGTATACTCAATGCACTGACAAATAACTGCAGGTAAATCAGGGTTCCTCCTGGATAATTGGTAACTGCCCTGGACAGTATAGGTTGAAGGGCGTTTTTGCAGCTGCAAAAGTTGTACGGCTTCATTCCTGCCTTGTTCAGATTACAAAAAAGAAAAAATTAATAAATAGAACCAATGTACGTAATGGAACACACCTAAAAGATAGGGACAATAAAAATCAATTGAATCCCAGTGAGAAAATGGAATGAAAAATTATACTAAAAGTTGGGCTTCCATAGATGAGAAGTATTAAATCAAATATAATCTTTAATAAATGCAATACTTAAGGAGCAGGCATTTTACAAAAAAAGATCAGGACGACTATAAGGAATTTAGAAAATCTACAGTACCGAAGATGAAAACGACACGGAATGTGCAGACGGTGCAGCATTGAGCCAAAAATAAAGTTCATTTTATTTGAAACAAAATTAGTAACATAGTCAACATCCGGATTATGACAGACTAGTAGAAAATATTTTTCAATTTTCAAAGGCGCGGAGGATGTCAAACAAAATTTGATACGAGAACATAAGTGCAATTTAGGATAAATGATCTACACCTTTTGTCGAAGACTTAGCTTTTTAGGAGCATTTTAAATGAAGCCGAGGATTATGAACAGAATTCCAGACTTTAGGGACTAGGCAGTTAAAGACAACGTTGCCAGTCGTCGCACGGGAGAAATCTGGGATTCGCAAGTGCGTTGATACCATGGAGGGAAGGGATGGAGCGAAACAGGAAAATCATTCTCTGACAAGTTCCAGTCTCCTCGCGGTTCGCTAAGAAGCGGCGTCAGTGTGGTGACGAGCACTTCCCGGAACAGGCAGGAAATACGTGAAGGTGTTGTACCTGACGCTGCTGCATCTGCAAAGTGTCAGGTAACAGGCGCATGGAATGTGGGAGGTCGGAGCAAACGAATGAGAAATCAACTGCTTTAAAATACAAGCTGGTGGCAAGCCTGAGGTCCTGTAATCTTTTAGAGACGGCATTAAAGAATACTGCTAGTGATGAAAAAAGAACACAGAGATAGTAGGAACTGCAGATGCTGGTGAATCCGAGACAACAAGGTGCAGGGCTGGATGAACACAGCAGGTCAAGCAGCGTCATAG